GGCAACCCACCTGCAGATATACAGGAACTCAGTGGGAACGTTGCTGCTTTTGTGGAGAGCTTCTCTGCAATGCACTCTACATTTGCTTGTCTAGGATTTATTAGGGTTTTTGTCATGACAACCAAGTTGCCCCTCAGGGCTTTCTGAGAGTATCCTCCTCCCCCTGCCCCCTTCTTGCACTTCACATGAAATAACCACAGACATGATTTTCCCTGTGTGACAGAACGTAACAAAAGTTAAAATAGAATTCTTCAACAATACTTTAAATGATTAATACAATTTAATATAGAACACAGAGATTATAGAGATGCTGTATAAAATATGCAAAAACAAAAAAGGGGGAAGCTTTGACTGTGCCCATATCTATTTGATATAAAAACCTCAGAGGTGGAGAAATAGTTACACCCATTAGGACATGTTTTGGGCTGCTGTAAGTCACTCTGCAACCACCCCAGACTACCATCATACAGAGGCAACACAAACACAACACATTTTACTATCATGATTTCCTAGATACTACATTTTCTACACACAGTAAAGGGGAATAACGGGAAATCCCCCTGAGCCTCAGGGCAGTGGGTGACCCAGCAGTGCCAGAAGATCTCCTGCACCTTGATCACTGCCTCCTCCTCCCCAGCTCCTTGTGGGCAGCTCCAGGGCTCTGTAGGCACCAGGATTTGTTCAGGGTTTCAACATTAAGGAAAGCAACCAAGGCATTTCAGATGGCAGGGAGAAAGCAGCTGCAGCAAGAAAGGGAGAGAAGTGAGGATTTGATTTGCCACAGGACCACAAGCCATTTAGGTGAGCTAGCCTTGATTTAGGTTTTTTCCATAGGGATGCTTGCTGATCAATAGAGGGGAATGCCTAACTCACCACTTACCGGAATGCTCTGTTTTGCAAACCAAATTAATAATATTACTTAGGTATGTGCATTTTAATACCAATACATGTTTGGATTTCTTCCAGGCTTGACATTTACTGTGAATTTCCTGGATTTATGTTCTGGAATTTCCTTTGTAAAGCAATTTCAGATTTACAGATAGTCAAATACCCCTGTAGCAGAGCCAGGCAGTGTTGTTGTTATTTGTTACAACATGGTGCTCAAGCACACACGCCTCAAACAGCAAGTCAGTTACCTGTAGCCATGGTTCACAAAATCCACCAGTTGTTAGCTACAGTGAGGGTCAAAACTCATTTAACGCACTGTCAGCAAACACACAGTGCAGCCTGATGAAATTTCTTCTTGTGGTCAAATCCCCAAAGGCCACCCCATTAAGGTCCCAAAGGGATCTTCTCTCTGATGAACCCACCAGGCAGGGAAGACGTAGCAGCACCACTGAGGTCAGTTGCAAGCCCAGCAAGCACTGGTATTGCCTGAGCTTCTGCCCACAGAATGTGTTTCTGTGGCAGAGATACGCAATGTATGCTTTGCTCTCCAGATGATTAGTTTTCAAGGGTATTGAAGGTGGTTTGCTGTATGCTAACCTCCAGTTATTAAAGCCAGTGATGCCACCCTGTTCTTTAGCCAGCATGCATGCCGCTTCCACCAGGGTACGCATGACCCCATCTTTCAGGGACTTTCCGTGTCCATCCCCACCACCCTGCAGAGCACTGGGTCCCTGCAGCAATTCAGAGCTCACTAGCAGGCTCACCAGCTGGCTCTTCCACTCCTTCTTGTCGCCTGGATAGTTCAGAGTGTATTGAAAGTGCAAACTTGGGCAACCAGCCTCCTGCTGGCTCTTCATTATTATAAGCAGGTATTACCAAGGCAGGAGAAGAAACATATTTAGCCGAGGGTGCACAGAAATGCATTATTTCCTTTTAAATATGGATAGCCAATTTAAAAAGAGAAATACTATGATTGCTTCAGGACTGCCTTTGGCTCTGATTAGAAACAGCTGAGCAAAGCCAAATGCTCAGCTGTTTCTGCAAAGAGGTTAACACCTGTTGAAGATGGAATAAAAACGTGACAGAGTTTAAGAGTAAATATCAAAAGATCGTTATTGTAAAGCTAACAGTAACACCAGTGATGATCACATTCCCCACCCTGTCACGCTACACCACTCCTGGGAGGGAATAAATCACATTAACACATCCACCGCACATAAGCAATACGTGCATATATTTTCTGTTCTTTCTTCATTCATAGCTGGGAGAATGGCTCCTTGACTCCTGTTATCCAAACACAGTCTACAGATGATACCAGGTCAGCATGAAATAACACCTACCCAGGCACGCTGCATACACTTGGGGCAGAAAGCTGTATTTATAACGCTTGCTAGAAGCCCATTTGGGGTAGGAGGAGTGTCCTTAGTGTGTGATTTCCCAAATTTCTTTCTCCCTGTGCTCTGGAGACAGTAGGAGTGTGTTGTATCTCCCCATCTGTTGGCAGATGGCAGGTACCTGCCTTGGGGATCAGAGTTTCGTAGAATCATAGAATCACAGACTAGTTAGATTTGGAAAGGACCTTAAGATCATCTAGTTCCAGCCCCCCTGCCATGGGCAGGGACACCTCACACTAAACCATGTCACCCAAGGCTGTCCAACCTGGCCCTGAGCACTGCCAGGAAGGGAGCATTCACAGCTTCCTTGGGCAACCCATTCCAGTGCCTCACCACCCTCACAGTAAAGAACTTCTTTCTTATATCTAACCTGAACTTCCCCTGTTTAAATATAAACCCAATACCCCTTGTCCTATCACTGCAGGACCTGATGAAGAGTCCCTGATTCTCCTTCATCCCATGACAATAGCCTTGCCCCAAGAGGTATGGAGAAGGCCTGGCACCAGGAGCTCCCCTCCACCCTAAGGTGGTCTCTGGAAGGCAGCAGCAAAGAGCCAGCCCATGCAGGGTGCTTTGCAGCAGTTCCCCATGGGATCGCTGCTTGTGTGCTCACTACATTTCCCTGACAACAAAGCTGAAACTGAAATAAGTGATCTCCCAGTTTTGACCCCAAAACAGAGTTTCTTCACTGCTGAAGGCTAGTTTCAGGAGCACATAAGACCAAAGGATGCTCCCCAATTCATCGACCCTCTACCTTGTATGCAACTCATGAGCAGAGCATGAAACTGCATAAAGTAGGGGCTATCAGGTATGCCCAGGGTGCAGGGTCCTCCATGCTTGCAGGGAGGGAAGCGCTTCAGCCAGCGTTGAAGAGTCACACTTGCAGGTTCACTCTCTGGAAACCTGCTTCAAGAGCACCTGTTAATGCGGACATACATAAATATGCACTAGACCACATCTGTGTGCATCACCCACCCACTCCCTGTGGCATGGAGCCCACACGAAGACCATCAACCTGGGATGGCAGTGGTGCAGACACAGCCTGGCCCTGCAATATCTCAGGCACCAATTAGACCTCCAGAACCTCAGGCGTGTGAATTGTCACTAACTACCCTCAAAGAAAATTACTGTGCTTGTACCTGAGCCATGTTTCAGTGTGTACCAAAACTGCCTGTGGCGACAGAGAGCACACGGCAGCTGGGCTTCCCACTAGTACTGGCATCTTCACACCAGCTGCTATAGACAACTGCCACCTCACGTCATGTAAAAAACTGACCGAGGGGAACGCTACCCATGGCTTTCCTCTTGCTGCAAACTGAGAAGCTGCGGCTTGCTTCTCTTCCAGTGATGTGTCATCCTTCATAGATCACAGAATCACAGAATAGTGTGGGTTGGAAGGGACCTTCAAAGGTCATCTAGTCCAACCCACTTGCAATGAACTAAGTCAGATTAACCCGAACCACATCCAGCCTGAAGGCCCCCAGGGATGGCACATCCACCACCTCTCTGGGAAACCTGTGCCAGTATTTTACCACCCTCATCGTAAAGAATTTTTCCTCACATAGAGCCTGAATCTCCCCTCTTTTAGTTTAAAACCATCACCCATCATCCTACCACAACAGGCCATGCTAAAACATCACTGCACAGGTCCCCCATTCCTGGTGGAGGCAATAATGCAAAGATTTACACCAGATGAAAATGTTGATGCATGTCTCCTCGAAGCCAATTTATTTTTATTCCAGAAGGTATAAATAATAGAAAAGCTTGGGTTTTTGTTAGCTGATCTCTTATTTATTTTCTCAGCTCATTTATTGTAGCTCCATTTATTTCTCCCTCTGATTTCAATTTCTGCTCTGGATTCATTTAGATTCTGGTTTCCTCAGATATTATGCACATAAATTAAGTAGCAGTATTCAGAAAGAAAAGATCTAGGAGTCATCTGTGTAACCCAGAAGCCATGAAAGGACACAAAATACAAACAGCACAGCGAATGAGAAAAAATATTGGCATTTTGATTCTATTTCATCCCAGTGTTGTATATGAAACACTGTTTTACTCATTTTTAAAAAATAAATAAATAAAATAAAGTAGATTGTCCTGGTAGGACGGGTTCTAAAAATATACTTTGAATGGATAAAGAAACTGGAATGCTACCCATAAGAACAGAAACTGTAAAGGTTTCAAGAGAGAAATGAGTAAGAGATTATATATCTAATAATGGACTTTGAAAGGAAATAATTCAATACTTACTTTTTCCATAATAAAAAAGAGAGAAGATACTACCACTGTAGAGTAGAATTTATTTCAAAATTCGATGAATGTTTATTTACTAGCTTAGATTGTGAAATTTTCATAAAGTCATTGGATAAGTTTAAAATAATCTGTAATAAAAATTCACACATTATACTTAATACATTTTTCAACATTCATTGCTTTTTAAATCGATTTTTCAAATCTTGCTTATACCTCTGGAGCATCCAATATTATAAGCTTCATTCTTAAGTTACTAGCTGGAGTAGTCTGACCAGGGGTGGAAATGTTGGGTTTTCTGTAACTGCACAGCCTGTCCCAGGTCAAAGTGAGCAGATGTAAAGTCATGTATTTAATCTTAAATGCAGCAGTTTATAACTTGGAGCACTTTGTTTAAAAAAGCATAACATTTTGCATGTCAAATACTGCAAACTAAAAAGATAGGAAAAAAGAGGCTACTGAAAGTAAGACAAGGTTCATAAATCTTAATGCTTGAATAGCTAACAAGGAAGGGCATGCAAGGACAGACTTGGTGATATAATCATTACTAAAAAAGGATTTTGTGTCACCTACTACAGAAGTGTAGAATTTAAAACATTTGAAATTATTGCCTGAACATGAATTTCCTTGGGCCAAAATACCATATTTCTGGTAATTGCTTCATGCACTATCTACAATCACAAATTACTTCATTCTGCCATTCACATGAAAATAATACAAGGACTATCCATGCAAGTTCAAACCTATTTCTCTCTGAGCTGTCACTTTCAGGTGAATGTCGTAGAGAAGCGTTTTCAACTGACAGGTCCCCAGAACCAAATGGGTCCATCTGACTCCAGCACATACAATCAGAAAAGATGTAGCAGGACCCTCTGTTTACAGCTTTTAATGATTGCTTTACTCCTACAGTTAGCACCGTTTACAACTGAAGGTGATCATTAAGTTCACAGGTTCCCAATCTAATTTTAAGGGTCATCAGATTTCATTGCTGGAAGAGGCAGTCTTGGTGTTGTCCTCACTGAAACCAAAAAAGTTACTGTATCAGAGAGAAATTGGCATCTACGTTGAGACAATAGTGTTCTCCCTAAAACAAGTCTTCAGAGCATCTTCTCTGCACAAAACCTGCACAAAAGTAATCAAAATTCAGTTTCTATTAATTGCCTAAACTATGAGATTCCCCAGTAATTTGACTACCTACAAGTAGCTGCATGTTTTCCAGAGGGACACTCTGCGGGGGGGCACAAAGTGGGGGGAACGAAGTGTCCTGTGCAACTGGGAGATCTGAATGAGTTACATTTTCTTGTACTTATGGCTATAACCCTACATATGTAGGTTTGGCTTTCGTTACTGCTGGAAAAAAGCTTATGTGTACTATAAAGGAGGTAGTCTACAGGCATCTATTTCAACCACTGCTAGGCAGGCAGCCATGGCAGCGAGCTCTGCAACTGCCCGGGAAGCCCAGCACTTGGCAAGGCCTGGGCTGTGAGCTACCATAGTTACATTATCATCCACTTCAGATGGGTATGTCCATCTGAACATCAGAACCAATGTTGGCAAGAGAGCAGGCATGGCTACACAATGCCATTTTTAATTTGTCAAAAAATGCCAAGTTATAAATGTCAAGGGTGAAGAACATTGATCCTCTCTGACCATATGAAAGACAGCAAAATTAAAGAGCAGAACTTTGACTCCACATGTTAAATGGAAGAAGCAGGTATGACTTGATCCTATTTCTTTGCAAATTGGTTTGGTTATTTCAGAAGTAGGAGGCCAGGCAGACCATGCTACAGACAGGGATGTAGATGTGTGGCAACCCATCAGCCCACCTCCAAGACAGGAGAGAGAGGGAGTCCCAGTGGGTGACATTCTCACATGAAGGTTGCAGGTGTTCCTTTCAAAGCCAGCAACGGCTCCGTGTGCTGGTGTGTGCTCCTTTGAGAACAGCCTAGGGAATATCCAGGATCTGTTCCCAGTGCTCTCAGGCAGCAAGGTAAGCGTCTTGTCAAATGAAATAGCATATGGCCTGAAAAACAGCTATGATGTGAGTACCAACGGTTAGGGCCTTTTCTTTGCTTTTTTCTATTTTTCCTATTTATTCAAAGCAGAAATCAAACTGACAGGCTTGATAATTATAGGCAGTGTGCTCTGGCAAGTACAGTACCTCTTTCCAAGTAGTGGCAGCTGAATATAGTAGGTAATTCCAAACCTCCTACCCCAGAGTGGGAAATCTCCATCTTCCCTTGTGTGTATTACCTCAACTGCCAAGCACTAAACAAACATAATAGAAGGAATGCTGTCAGATCACATCGAGACCTGAAAGTTTAGAATTTCTATAAACCAACATGAACAAGACTCTGCAGACAACGAAAACCCTTCCTTATGCCTCTATATCAAAAAAGAGTTCACATGTAAGGTAGCAACCTGTACATTTCAGTATTTCACAGGTTCACCAGGTGAAATTGAGTAGATAGCAAAGGGAATGTAGGTCTCTCATTGTTGCTTAAGGTGAGGGATTGGAAGAAATAAGAATACAGACAGGAAAAGTAAATTACATTTTAGAAAAAGCCTCAACGTTTCAACCTGGGGAGTTTGATTTAATGTGGTAGGTGTTCTTGGAAGTGAGCATTCCAGATTTCATATGCTTTTTGAGCTTTAATTAAATAATTGGCAAAAGAATACCATATGTGCACAGGCTTCTCAAGGGATAATCGTGTAAATTTCCACCTTGATATTTGCAGACTCTTGAACCCATTCCAGCATGGAAGAAGGCTCAGGGATTTTCCATTTCATCCAAATAACTGCCTGAGCAACTACCAGAGAAACCAAGTTGGCATCTAGTAATTTTTTTCACATTCATCAGGGTTCCAGCTCCACAACATACAAGCTTCTGCATTACCAAGAAATTTTCCCAGAAAGAAAGCACACCTTTATGAGCGCTTTTGTACTCCCATAGTAACAATAAAAAAAACATTAAAGCATACATAATGCAGCAGTCAGTACCTATTCTAGCTGTGCAGTAAAAAGAGCCCAGAAGAACAAAGGCAAGGCGTGAATAAGTGCTACCACAGGCACCAGGTGGAATGGCACAGCCATCTGTAGCCCGACTGTCTGACTAACCCAGCTTGTTTTTATGTACATCAACAGCAAGGCAAACTCCACTGTTACGTGCAGCTTTGATGATACATAATTAGTTGGTGATTTAACAACCATGGGAAAAAATACGACAGTAATCATGGCAGGGGGAAAGAATGAAACACCACAAAAAGGAGCTGAATTAGCCCCTGCAGCCAGCAATTTTTGAACTCTTTGGGTAGTTTGTCAGACTGTAACAATAGAAGTGATTTTGGAAATAGGAGCAGTTCATAAATTGGCAATGCTGCTGATTGACATCCCCCATCCAAACTAAAGAAACGTTCATGAATCCATAGTGTGGAACTTTCTTAAGGAAATATGTTAAAGCCTGAATAACTACTGCAAGCATTGTTTCTCTGATCAGAGATGATGTGAGTGATAGCTACACAGGGAGAAAGGAGACAGCTAGACCTGAGGTTTAATTCTGGGAGAGACTCACAACTCTCTAAAAAAAGAAAAAGCTCTCAAAAAGAAAGCTCCTCTCCGACTATTCTTTACACTGAATAAGATAAAAATAAAAATAATTAAAAAAAAAAGACAAATGTTACTCTTAAAAGCAACAAAAATCAGTCCTGCTCCTCACTGCAGCCAAAGGGAAATTTGCCATTAGCTTCAACTGATGCATGTATCTTCTGCATTCTGCCATTAAAATGGCTGGAAATATTTTCTGATGGGAAAAAAGCACTGGGTTAGCCTTTGTATTCATTCAATATTTTTTCAATACTGCATTTATCAAAAAATGTAACATAATTGCTGTTACAGGTAAAAGCTTTGATGGCTTACAAATATGATCGCAGTTAGCTTGTGACCGCTGTTTTCACAGACTGGGAGGAAAGCTTTTACCCAGTTACTTTACCGTTCATCTCAGCTGCCTCTCTCTGCCACAGAGGAAATTCAGTCCAAAAACGCTAGCCTGAAAGTTCCAATTTAACTTACTCTTCTGAATTTATGCTTAGGTATGCTCCCTTATGGCAACCTATTTTCGAACTTGCATTTCATACACAACTGCAATTTCCTATGCAAAACTTTGTGCTGGGGAAATAACAGCACTGTGTTTGTAACCTGCACGTTCAGTCTGGGCACAAGTTGGTGGGTTTGGGTTTTTTTTTTCAGCTGATCTCTACAAAGCAAGAGATCAACTCTGTATTTTTCAAGTTTTATTAAAATATAAAACTGGTGTTCTGGAGTTGGAGTCAGTCCCGGACTTCCAATAATCTCAGATATTTGTCCTTTCCCCCTCAAAATGACTCTAGATTGTGGGATTTCTGAGTTGGAGATGCTTTTATGTTTAAGATTTCTTAACATTACAGTGCACTCTAAGTTAAATTCAATTGTAAACTCAGTTTAAGTGTGAAAATGTTGATTAAATATATCTTAATTAAAAGATTCTTCAAGGCAGACTTCTCTTTTGCTGGCTGACTTTAATCCTGAGTTTTCACTTAAAGTGTTTAAGCCAATAAGGAAAACCTGACACTTTCCTAACTCTGAAGGAACTTTATCAGAATGAAGATTACTGACCCAGAAGTTATTCTTCTTCGGCTACTCTTGTTCAGATGTACATTCGTCACACAGCTCTCCAGTCCTCCTCCTCCCCAGTGTTCTGCACAGTTTTGAAAACAGAAAAAAAAAACAAACAATACACACGTGTCCACTGAAAAAAATCTCAGAATCTAAACATTAATTTAATTCTTAATAAAATTACATATATGCAATGCCTTAAATCTCAAATATTAAAGCAGTCGCTCTTATGAGGTAAATGTGCATTGTTATACCTGTTACACCGACAGGAGGCATGAGTCTATGGTGTAAGAGCTTGTTTAAAAGGCGAAGCAACTCTAGTATGCAAATGTGCTATCTGTAAGAAGGGTACAAATAGGAGTTGCACATTTTTTTCCACAGAGCATTGTTGACACAGTGATGTCTACCACGCCAAACAAAGAAATAAGTAGAAAAAAAATAACATTTCAAAATTGGGCACACATGATATCAAACTGCTGGCTTTCAGGCAAGAACCATACTGCTCTTTAGGTCTTGCGTTTGGCCCTGTCGTTTAAAGATCTAGCAGTGACTCTGGCAATAAAAATCAAGGGGATCAACAATGAAAACAAATTTGAAAATATGGGATTGAGGAAAAAAAAAAACATATGTAGACTGCAGATAAAACATAAATTTTCATGTTGATAAATATTATTGCATAAAGCATATGAAGATGAAGATTCCTGCTGAGAAGCTGTCTGACTTACACTTCATTTTCAAAACAGAAAGTGAGAACTTCTGAAAAGTAGCTGAGGTGATGAGACACAGAGTACATTTTTATTCCTTAATTTTGCTGACAGACTGTTGACACTGCCTGTTGCCAACTTGTTCTGTAGTTTACTTTTCCCAAACAGCTACTTTAAAAAAACATCTTTTAAATGTTGAATGCTCCAAGAACATAATGGCACGGTGTCGTCTTGGGACCTCTGCCTCACTGAAGATAATGGCAGCTCCCTCAAAAGCAGTCAAATGTGCTCCCGTTACTTAGTCTTATGAATCCATCTGCGTGATGCATTTGAGCCCATTAAGGCTTCCAATTCTGTGGCATTCAAAACACGATATGTCTGTGCTTTAAACAGCCTTTTTTTTAATGATACTTGCTGTGTAAGAGTGAATTCAAGCCCCGTTGGCCCAAATTGCAAGCCCAGCACAAACTCATGGGAATATGCTGCAAAGCTGATTGAGGCACATCTGAAAATTCAAACAGGCTTTGACTCCAGGACTCCAGTACAGAGCCTGTTTTGCTGGGATTTTCAGATCCTCTAAAATCTCTAACTAGTAGGAATTATGGCACCAGCCAGCAGTAGCAGGATTTCATGAGTCTCCCCTAAACCAGGAAAGCCTTGATCTCAACAAGGGCTGTGATCACTGCCATTTCATTCCTCAGCTGTAGTCCTTTACATCTCTTTGTAAGTATGAAGGAGTGAGAGTTCAAGAGGTAGTTACACCCGTTTGTCTTAGTCAGATATCTTCCTTTCTTACTTTGTTACGTAGAAGACACCCAGGTCTTTTTATACTTTTTAGTTTCCCAATGTTAAAGCGTAGTTTTATATTTCCAGATGTGCACAGATTCCTCTGAAAAAGAGGTGAGAAGTTCCTGAGGCTTAGAGGTTATATATAACATTACATAAAATTGCTCTTTAACGCATTTTCTGAGGCCTCTCTTTAATCCTGAAAAACACGAAACTGTCGATTTCAAATTCTGGTAAATAACTTCTGTTTATCAGGAGCGTTTTCTTTCAAGCCTGTGTTATGTATGATGGCACTCGCAGGGGTGAGGGTAGGAATTACTCTTTGCTGAGGAAAGGGATCTGAAGAAGAAAGCTAGGTAATTGGCTCTGAAATGGTGGTTTCACCATTGCATAATCCTGCTCAGTGCTACATTTGTGTCCAGCTCTGAGAAAATGTGCCTTTTGAACTTTCTAGCTAAGCAGACGTGCTTTCATAGATTGTCAGAGTTCATAAACACTGTGGGTTTTCATCAAGTTGGCAATTTGGTTTCGTTTTGACCCAGTGCCACAGTAATTCGTTGACTTGGTTTTGATTTGATGTCTGTAATGCTCCACTTTTACTTTCGTGGAATATTAATGCTAGATTGGCTTTGATTTCATGGTTCTGTTCAAGTTTCTTAACAAAATGTATTGAAACCATACTTCTAATGGGATTTTCAAAAGTGCCTGATCTGCACAATTTTTTCAATATGCAGCACCACTGAAGACATGGGTAAATATCAGCTACTTGACTCAAAATCTCAACTAGCTCTCAGTGCAGCAAGGAGTTTACTCAATACAGCAGTAAGCATAATAAAAGCATCATTGAATGGAGTAGGTATTTGTGTGAAAAAGAAGCATGGCTTTGTTTCTTTTTTATTTATTTTTGTATTTTTTTAAGAGCAATTCTTTTAACAATGTCTAAGAAGAAAGAACCTGCATCCCTGAATACTCAGAGTCACCCAAGAATGCTTCTGAAGAAAAAAGGGTATTTGTACACCCAGACATCTGAAGTGGCCAGCTAGTCCCCACCCACACTGCAAGAGGGAACAGAAGTCTGCGGTCACATTCACCACCTGCAGGAATTTATTTCCTCTGCCTGTCAGAGACCAGGCCATCAAGTTGTATGCCTAACGCTGGGAAATGCTAATGGTCCGCAGAGCGTGCAGAAATGTAAATGCAATTTCCACATTCAGCTGAGGGTTTTCTGGTGAGAGGCAGGGATTGCTAAACTGTGAGGAAAATACATCATGGAGTGTTTTGTGCCGTTTCTTTGTTCCGCAGCGAAGGACGCTGAAGTCATTAAGGTCTGCATGCGTAGCTCCCTACATTTACCTATAAAATCGTTCACACCAAGTATGCTCATCCCCCATCAGTGGCTGAGCTGGCAACAGGATTGCAATTTTCCTAAATCTTCACCTGGTGCTTGAGCTGCTGCCATGGTTTAAGCCCAGCCGGTAGCTCAGAACCACGCAGAAAGATTGCTGCTATAGCTGAACCCAGGACAACTGCGAGGCAGTCTCATCTCCACTCCTGCATTGAATTCAAAGTATCCCACAGCTAAAGTGAGCCTAATTCAAACGTAAGGCCTTTCACAGCTTTCAATACCCTAATCCACTCCTGGCTTGACTTGATGTCTTAAAAGATGGAAATTGTGAAATGTAAATGTTCACGACCTTAAGACTGCTCCTTTTTTTCAGTCAAGTTGATTTTTGGCTTTCTCCAGGCTCTCAAGATTTTTACTCTATTACTACACTGAATAACTAAATTCAGGCTGCCCAGGTCACCCTCTTATCACTTAGTTAACCTTGCCACTCATAATCCTCAGCTCATTCTGCTCAGGGCAAGCACCCACTTCTCCAGGTAACAACACTTATGCTGCAACGTTCTCTCTGAAAATCAACAAAATAATCTTAGTCTCAGTGGAAAAGCAAATTTATCTGGTAAACAGTTTGTTTTCTTGCACCAAGGGCTCACAAGGGTTAACTCATTGGGGTTATTGTAGGAAACATTTGCCCATCTCCTTTGGAAGTTGGAGCTGGCACACCCAAACAGGCAAAAGCCCCTGTTAGAGGCCTCATGTCCATAACACTGCTGCATCATCCTAGACTTTGCTTTCCTCGAGAGCCCATCCTGCCCCCTGTGCCTATCAACACTCCACCCCACTGACTTTCCAGGCCTCTTTGCTGCACTCCCTTCCCTGGCTGCCTCCCCTTCCCCTCCAAAAGGCCTTTTCCAAGCCCTTGCCGTATGCCTGGCCCCACCAGTCAGTACTGTACCTCTAATAATTTTCTATTTTTCAGCTCCCACAGTCAAATGATTAGGTGAGAATCTTGGCTTATGGTTTTAACTAAGTTTCCTAGACCTCATGGTAGCAAACAAAAACTTCAAAACATGACTCAAATGCACCCCAAAGGCTAAGAAAGCTGAAGGCAATAAACCACACCCCAACATTATTTTCTTTTTCAAATCTCAGGTTTAAGTTTTTAACCAATCTCAGGCCTTTCTCAGACTTTCCCTGTGATTTGTGAACATCTGGGATTGGCAGTGCTGCAGTCCGACCAAGCAGGTTGGAAAACATCGTCCTACAATCCAGCTGCTCTCTGGGGTCCACTTCCTACTGGCCCCACCAGGCTGCATCTCCTGAAATGCCCTTCTCCTGAGATGCACCAGGGCCTACTGGTCCCTGATCCAGAGGGTCACATAATGAGCCCCTGCATTGCCTAAGACACTGATTCTCCATTGCTATCTCTGGAAAAGTTAATGACCATGTTGGTTTTCTTAGCTATCCCAGGGAGAGTGGCATTCTTCAGGCAAGCTCAGATATCTGGAAGCGGGAGAAAGAGGTGTGATCAGATCCATGTGTTTTCTGTTCCCAGATGAGTACATGTTCAGCTCTCACCGCTAAAATTCTTCTCATTTGTTTTTCCTCTGCAAAAGAATGATTCCAGGCACTCCTTCAGCTTGGTAAACATGTGTAACCTGAGGTTGGATTTTTCCAAATAACAAGCTTTTGTTTCTTTTGTTGTAATTTCCAAACATAGCAGGCCCAGAACAAAGGTTTGTATAAGATTTGCCCATCAGAGATTATTGATTTCCTACCTAACAAACATGGCACTTCACTCAAGCTGCTTACCCTGTTTTTTACTCTGTTATCTTATTCTCCTTTCAGATCCTAGAGTCATGCTAGGCAGAAGAGCCTTATTTCCTCTCTAGCCTCAGTAAGTGCTCATATTTTAAAGTTAAATTGATTTTTCCCTCTGTTCTGTGAACACCGTCACTTGGTCTTCTGACCACATCAAGTCCATTCATGACAGCCAACAAAACTGACAAAATACAAAATATACCTTTTGGAAGTAGACTGAAGAATGCTGAATTCTAATGAAACAAGGTCAACGTAACAAAAAGCACTGAAATTTAGTGTTGATATTAAGATCACTGTTAGGCTTAAACTTGCTGTGATGAGAACTGCAGGGGTTACTAGGTGTGTCTTCCTTCTTACTAGCTCAATTGATGGTTTCAGTAGTGATGCACAAGTTGCTGCCAGGTGTTAGATAAAAATAACTAAATACAGTACAGTCACAACTG